CTTTCTTCTATATATATAAGCCAAATAATAATACTAAATAAATAAAGTTATTATAATATATTTAATAATTAATTTACTTGAAAAGTTATAGCTAGAAAGCTTTATAGCCGTAATTTATTTATGTAATTAAAACCTTTTATATATATATAACTAGAAAATATTAAATAAAGTATTTAATTTATAATTTTATAATTATTCTTATTAGTATAATTCAAAATTTATAATATAAATAATAATTAATTTTAGATTTAATTAAAATAGAATTTATATATATAATTCTAGAATATATCTAATAATTAAGAACTATAAAATAAAATAAAAGAATATTTAAAATTATATTATATAAATATATTTATAAAATCTGAATTCTTATATATAATATTATATTTAATAAAAACATTTTCTATAAAAAGAATTATAAATATACTAAAAGCTATAATATAAAAATTATAATAGAATTACTTTTAAAAAATAAGATTTAGAATATTAAATTAATTTTTAAAAATAAAAGATTATAATATAATAGCTTATTAAAGTAAATAAAAAATAAGCCTGAATTAGAAAGTAATAAGTAAATAAACTAATAATTAAAGCTTATAAGTATACTAATAAGTTATAAATCAGAAATAAAAAGCTTTATAATTTTATAAAATATTTTAAAGCCAGAAAATATACTAGAACCTAGAAATAATAGAAATAAAGGTATTAGGCTTAATATAATTAAAAGAAATATATTAAAATATATTAAAACTATTAGAGAAATATATTAAATTAATAAAAACAGAAAAGAATTTTTTTAGAACTAGTAATAAAGTTTACTAATAGCTCTTATAATTAAATTAAGAAGCTTATTTATAAAACAAGTAAAAAGCTTAAGAAAAATAAAAGAATTCTTTATAGAAAAAGCAAATAACTTAACTAAAATAAAAGATTAAATAATAAAGTCAAGAAAGAAATAATTAAAAAAGCTAATTATTAAAACCAGAAATAAACTAATTTAAAAACGTTTATATAAAGGAAATAATTAAAATAATAATTTAAGTAAAGCTAATAGTAATATAATTATTATAATAAGTATATTATTATAAATAATAAATAAATTGAATTAAATTAATTATTTAGAATCTCTTTTAAAATCTCTCTAGCCTAATTAGCTAGAGAATTATAAGAAAGAATTTAATTATAAAACTATATATATTATAATTATAGTAATAATTTAATTAAAAGCATATTTAAAATAAAGAGCTTTAAATAATATAATAATAAAAAGATTTTATATTAATAATTTTTAAAGGCTTTAAAGATATAAAATAATCTAAAAAAGTATTTAGCTAAAAAGTACTTTAAATTAGATACCAAACTAGAGATTTATAACTTTAAAGCTCGAAATTATTAAAGAATTATTTCTAATAATAAAGTAAATATACTTCTAATTCCTTTAAAATAAATATTTATATAGAGAATTAATTCTAATAAATATATTATTTAATATTATTTAAGGCTAATAATTTATAAAAATCTTTAAAAAAAGATATTACTTTTATTTATTTATATATATTATTATATTTATAATAAGGTTTTTTTAAGTAATTTAATATTATAAATATATTTATTAATATAAAAAGAAATTTTAATAAATTTATAATAATATATAAGCTATTAAATAATTTCAAGATTCTAGACTATATAGTAAAAATAAATCGAGCTTTATATAAATTATAAAATACTTTTATTTTATAATATAAATACTAAATAAATACTTTTAAAAGAATTAAATTCTTTAAATTTAATAAAAAGCCTTATATTTATATAAATATAAATTATAAAGTTTTAATTATTTTTTATATAAATAACTTTTAAGTATTTTATTATAAAAATAATAAAGCATATATTTAATTAATTATTATTTAAATTAAAAGAATTTATGATTTTTATAATATATAAAATATAAAGTAATATTTAGATATTTATATAATTAGAAATTAGAAAACTAAAAAACTCTAGCTAGTTTATAATACTTATATTAAAATAATTATTAAGAAATTTAAAATAATAAATAAGTAGTATTCTAGTATTTCTTTACTTAAAATCGATTTTCGGAAATATAATAATTAAGCTTATCTAGATTAAATTAAGATATAGCTTTTATTACTTTAATATTCTTTTAATTCTTAATAAATCCAGCTCTAAAATACTTTATAGCTATAAATTAGGCTTTCTAATACTTATTTAAAATCCGGTTTTTAGTAATTTAATATAATAAAAAATATAAAGAAATATTATTATAAATTATATTAAATATATTATATATAAATAATTTAAATATATAATAATTAAGTTACAAATATATAATTTCTTTATTTAAAAATTTAATATTATAAAAAGTTATTTAATAAAGTATTATAATTACTTTTTTAATTAAATTAGAAATATATAAAGCTATTATTAAAAAAACAGGCCTTTATATAAAGAAAACTAATAATTTAATTAACTAAATAGAATTCTTTAAGAAAAAAAGAAAAGAAAAGAAAAGAAATAAAACTATATTCTTTAAAATATTCGAGCTTTTTAAATAATTTATAATTATTTTATTAATCTAAAAAGATATATTATATAATCTAATATAGGCTTTTAACTAAATATATAAATCGGGTTTTAATTTATTATATTATTTCTCTTTTTATTTGCAAATACTAGTTCTATAAATATATAAGTAAAATTTCTTTTTATTAGATTTTTTATTAAACTTCTAATATTATTATTTCTTTAAATATAAAATATAGTTTTTATATAAAGCAAATATAGTTCTTTTATTTTATAAATAGCTTCTTTAAAAGCTTCTAACTATATCTTATATATTTCTTATTAAGAATTTATTTAATCTTATATTTATATTTATTTTCTATTAGCTATAATTATAGCTAGTTAAAAAAGCTTATTATAAAATATATTATGGATTTCTGGAAAAGTATTAAGCTAAAAACTATAGCTCTCTATTATATTAACTATTATATATTTAATATATTTTATATTAAGCTTTTTAATTAGTTTATTTATTTAAATATTTTAGAAATTAAATTAGATTTTATTTCTAATCTTAAATTCCGAAATTTAATCTCTTTTCTGGTTTATTACTTTCTTTTAAAATTATTAAGCTATTACTATTATGGCTTATATATATTCTTATATATTATAGAGCCTATATATAATATTATTTACTATTTGAATAAATAATAATTTTTTTACTTTTTTTATTAATTTTATTCTAGAGCTATATTAGCTTAATATAGTATTTATAAAATAAATAAAATAAACTAATTTTAGTAAATAAAGTATTTTAGTTATTAATTACTAGCTTAATATATAGTAAGAAAATTATCTAATTTATTTAATTATAGTTTATAAAGATATAAAGAAAAGTCTTAATTATCTAATTTATTTTTTCTATAAATCTATTTGTTTTAAAATAATATATTATAAATAATTAATATCTAATAGCTTATATATTTTTATTTATAATATTTCTATAAATTATCTTTTTTAATTAAAAACTATTACTTTTAGAAGCCTATATTAGTAATAATAAATCTTTATAAATTACTTTATTAGTATTTTTATTATAATATTTATTATAGCCTTAAGTATTATTTCTTTTTCTAAATAATTTATAATAATAATTATATTAATATATTTTTTATTTAATAAAAGTTTTATTATAAAATTAATTAATATCTCTTATTAGATTTAACTTAAAATAAAAAAAGCTTTAGAAACTTTAAATAGTAATTTCTTTATATTTTATTCTTTTTATAAGTATTATAGTTTTATATAAATTAGTATATTTATTTTAATATATTTAACTAAAAAAAACTATTATATAAGAAAAGTACTTATAATATTCTATTTTAGATAGCTATATTAAATCGAGTTACAAGTCTATTAAATTAGCTTTATATAAAGCTTTTTCGAGTTAGAAATTCATTATTATTTCCGAAAAAGAAATTATTTTAACTAAAATAATAAATATTTCTCTATTAATATTTTAATTTTTAAATTAAATAAAAATATTTATTTCTTTTTTCGTATTATTTTAACTATAGCCTAATATAGCTTATTTTTTCTTAAGTATTATACTAAACCTTTTTTAGTATATTTTAAGTATTATTTTTTATTTACTATTTTATTTATTTATTATTAATATTATTTCTATTCTATTCTTAGCTTTTTAAACCCGGTTTAAGAAAATCTTTTTATTTTATTTATTTCCTTATTAATTCATATTTATAAATTGGGCCTTTATATTTTACTAGTTTTTAGGCTAGGCTTTTCTTTTTTGATTTCGGTTTTCTAGGCCGGGCTTAAGAAATTAAATAAGCTTTTTCTGTTTTTTTATTTATATTAGTATTATAAAAATCGAGTTTCTGGAAAGGTTATTAAAGATTTCCGGTTTTAATAGTTATAATATTCTTAATTACTAATTTTTATTTTTATTTTACTAAAAAGATCTTATTTTTACCTTAAAACTATATTTATTTATTTATTTATTATTATTTTCTAAAATATATAAAATCTTGAAATTATATTATAAGAGAATTAAAAATTACTTTATTTACTATTTAATAAGTTTTCGTATTATTATAAAATATTTTAGATTTTTATAGTTTATTCGAATCTCGAATTAGTAAATATTTTTTAGTTCTATATTTTATTTCTTTAAATAATAAATAATTACAAGTATTTCCTTATTATAAATCTTATAATTATATTTTATAGATTTTTTTTAAAAAAAGAAAGTATAAGGTTATAAGATATTCTCTCTATTAACTTATATAAGAATATTATTTATATTTTACTTAGAAAAGTCTATTTCAAGAATTGTTTTCCGGTTATAATTAAATGTTACGTGGTACCAGTCATGTGGTGCTACTACACCTGACTTAGCGTATAGCTAGTGCTTTTAGCCCGGCACACAGCCTTCAGCTCAATTCAAGCTCTTTACTACCACTGCAACATCACCTTATCGTGACATATGGTAGTAATGCAATAATTATAATCGAGATCGACCTCACGATACGGATTACTACAGCAATAAAGCGATGTTCCCCTCGCCCCTGTAGAAAGAGCTTCCTGTTACGCTTTACACCCCCGCCGGCAGAGCCGTCCGACTCCTCACCTCCCCAAGTCTTTACTTGGCTAGTGTTCCTCCATATTAGGGCACATGGTATACATGGTAGTTGTAATTAGGAGATTATTAAGACTGGATATGGTACGAACAAGAAATATGGTAGAGAGGGAGGCAATATACAAATAGGGGGCATATTCTGGGATATATGTTACCATGGCCTGCTTGTAGGGCCCTTAGAAGTGAGATGTAAGCTCTTGGGGGAGAAGGACGCTCTATACTAGTGGACTTCTTATTGGGTAGCCTAGAATGGCTGTATTGCGACGAGGACGTTGTCTTTCGAGTCTGAAGGGGGGGACTTGTTATGTGGCACTAGTCACGCGGTGCTACTATACGTGACTTAGCGTGTAGCCAGTGCTTTTAGCCCGGTATATAGCCTTTAGCTCAATTCAAGCTCTTTACTACTATTATAATATTACCTTATCATAATATTAAACTATACTAGTATTAGAACTAAAATAAATATCTTTTTAAGCTTTCAGAAAGCAGCCTTTATTTTATTTATTTATAAAAATATTCGGTTCTTATATATAAAATTAAATAATCTTTAAATAATCTTTAAAAAATTTCAAATAAAATATTTAAAAAAATTAGTAAATTCTAAGAAACTTTATATATCTTTCACTAATTTCGGGGCTTTCTAACTTAGAATAGCTTTAATTTTTATTAAATTTATATAAATGCTTTTTTTGGCTTCTATAATAAATTTTAAATATTTTATTAATATCTAGTTATAGATTTGCTTCTTAAAGTTATTAAAGAATTTTATATATATATTTATAGTAATTTTCCTTTAATTCTAATAAATAAACTAGAATATTATTTATATAAATGAAATAAAACTTATTTAATTAATATATTTCTAAAATATATTTGGGGTATTTATTAAACTAAGAGAAATTACTAATTATTTATAAAGTTTATATTTTATATAAAAGGCCGTTTTCTATTTATTTTCTTTAATAATATAAATTATATAAACTATTTTGCTTTTCTAATATTTTAAAGAATTTTATAAATTAATAGAAATAAATACTAGTTCTTTTTTATAAGCTTATTTAGGCTCTAATAATTTATATAGAACTATAATTTCCTATTAGGTTTTCGTATAAAAAGAATAGAAATAGTAATAGAAAAATGGCTTATTTAAATAAATTCTTTATTTAATAATTTTATAAGTATTTTTTATAATACTAGAAGTTTATTTCGAGATATATTATATAATAAGTCTTATAATATAACGAATTCTTTTTTATTAATTTTTTATTAATTATATAAAATATTTATTAATAAATAATAAAATAATAAAATAAATTAATAAGTTATAAAACTATAATATTAAATTTAGTATAGAACTAATCTCTATTTCTTTTATAAGGTCTAGAAAAGCCTTTTCTAAATAAGAGGCCCCGATAATATATATATATAATTAGTAATTTATAAGCCTAATATATATAATATAAATAATAATTAGCTATAATAGTAAAATGCTATTAATCTCCTTAATTAATACTTATAATATCCGAGGTTTATTATATATTTTTTAGTTATATATAACCCTATATATATTATGAATTCAATTTAATAATTAATTTCTTAGCCTCGAATAAATAATAATTTTTCTATTTTAATTAAGTAAAATATTTTTTAAAAGCTCTTATATTATTCTAAAAGCTTTATATAAGAATTAGTTTTCTTTTTTCGAATTAGAGTTTTTTAAATATTTATTAGACTAGCTAAAAAAAACTTCTATATTTCTCTTTTTATTTTTCTTTATTAAATAAGAAAATAAAGCTATTATAATCTATATATAATCTATTATTTATAAACTAAAAATTAATAATTTATTTATTTTATTTTATATTATATTATAATAATAATATATAAATAAATATAAGAAAAAGGAAATATAGTATAAATAGTTAAAGCTTAAATATAGTAAGTATAGTTACGTGAACTAGTATATAATTACTAGTATATAGTTATTATATAATATATATATTTTAAAAAACGAGAACTATATAATTCTCTATATTATATATATAATTTACTTATATATATAGGCTAACTTTTCGAAAAAACAGAAAATCGAATAAATTCTATCTAAAAAGCTTAAAAATAGCCTTATTCTAATATCCCTGAACTTTATAGCCTAATACTAGTAACTAAAGCATCCTATAGTACTATATATATATATTTAATATATAGGGAGTATAAGAAAGAAGTAGGGGATATAAGAAAGAAGCAGGGAGCTATTAATAAGCTAAGAAAGGCTATTTAATAGCCGGAGAAAGAGGCTGGCTATTAATAAGCTAAGAGAGGCTATTTAATAATAGAAGAATAATAGTTGAGGCTATATAAAGTATATAGGGATATTAAATTAAGGAGAAGGCTATTATAATATTTATATATATTATAGTTAATATAGAGGTCGTTTATAGTATAGAAGTATTAAGAGAATAGTATTAGTTATAATTACTAGAGGGCAAATCTGGTATTCTAATTCAGATAATAGTAATTATTATATAAATAGTAATAACTAAGAATTAATTTATTTATTAAATAGAATACTTAATTAAGAGATCTAATTAAAGAATATAGTAATACTATAAAGATATTAATAATTTCTAGTTAATAGCTTAATTAAAAGATTAACTAGTTAGAATAGAGCTTTAAAAAGCTTACTAGAGAAAATATAAAGAAATTTATAAGTAATTAAGAGTAAAAAAACCCTAATTAAATTAAATTAAAAAGTATTACTATTAATTATTATAATAAAACGTTATTATTATATTATAATAATAATATATAAATTAATATAAGAAAAAAAAGATATAATATAAATAATTAAAGCTTAAATATAATAAATAATTACTAGTATATAATTACTAGTATATAATTACTAGTATATAATTACTAGTATATAATTACTAGTATATAATTACTAGTACATAATTACTAGTATATAATTACTAGTATATAATTACTATATAATATTAAGGTTTCTAATAATAAAATAAATAGTTCTAATCTCGAATTATAGATTTATATATTTTATAAATAAAGCTATTATATATCTAAGATTATATCTAAACCAGAAATCTTAAGAATTATTATAGTCCTATAAAAAAAGCTTATAAATAAGGCACTTATAGAAGAACTATTTATTAAGAAAATTAAATTAAAGAGAAAAGGAAATCTCGAATTAAAATCCCTTAAATATTTATAGTTTCTTATTTATAGCTTAGCCTAATAAGACTTAATATTCTAAATTTCCTAGAATATAGCTTCTTTTAGCTTTATTATATATAATTATTATATGATCCCAAATACTAGATATTAAGCTCAGATAAATATAAAATTATAAAATTATTTTCTTTCTTAGAAAAAGCTTATTTTTAAATAAATAAATATTATAGAATTATTATTTAAATTAATATAGTTCTCTGTTTTATTCTCTTAAGCTTATATTTAGTTAACTAGCCTCTTTAATAGATCTAGTTATTATTAATTAGTTAAGTAATAATTTTATAGCTTATAAGAAAAGTATTTTAAATTAGAGGCCGAATATTAGTTAAAGTCTTTATTATATCTAATTTAACTAATTCTATATAAGAGCTTATTTTATTTTATTTTTAATACTAGAATATTCTATATTTTATATTCTTAGTTTATTATTACTTAAATTAGTAATAATAGTTCGTTTTTCTAATTAGATAATAAATTATTAATAGTCTTATATAAATAATTAAAAGAGAATTATTAGTATAGCTATTTCTTTGGGAGTTACGTATATAGTTACGGGATACGGGATACGGGATATAAGTAATAGAATATAAGTAACGGGATATAAATAATAGGATATAGGATATGAGATATAGTTATATAACCTCGCGTCTTATTAGTAACTTGACTAGTAAACTAGACTCTTTTAAGCTTAGTAGATTTAGGAATTATATATTAATACTATAATACTATAATTTCTATTTCTAAAGAATAACTTTACTAATTATATATAAATAATATTTCATAACTTATATAATAGTATTATATATTACTAGTAAACTAATACTAATTAGTTAGTACTTATAGATTAGGAAGAATTAAGCTATACTTACCTAAGATTTAGTTACTTAGAAATAAAGCTATTATTCTAGTTAAAAAAAAAAAACTATTAATTCTATTACTTGTAATTCGGTTATATAAGCAAGAAAGATACTTAATCTTACTAAGGCCTAATTATACTATATTAAAGAAGGAAATATCTATTAGTTCTATTACCTGTAATTTGGTTATATAAATAAAAAGGACACTTAATCTTACTAAGTACTAAAATAATTAGCTATTTAATTATTCTATTTTATTTCTATTTAATTCCTATAAAACCCTTTTAAAAACTATCTTCTTTTAAATTCCTGGGGCTTTTAAGCCTTAGAACTATTAAGTTCTTCCGAAATCTCAATATTTTTCTTCTTAAATTTCACTTCCTAAATTTCTTATTATAAATGAAATTTTTATCTTAAATATAATACCTATTATAAATTACTTATTTTATAAATTACTTTCTTTCTTATAAATCTATTCTTTTTATAAACTATTATACCTTAAACTAGATATAAGCCTATAGAATATATAATAGTAAAATATACTATAATAAATAATTTCTTTATTAGATCTATCTAATCTAATTATTTTATAAATAATAATAATTTCAAGGAATTAGTAAGAAAGTAGAGATATAGAATTAACCTGAACTTTATTAAGGCAAATAAGATAACTGAATTCTTAAATACTAAGCTATTTTAATATATTCTTTATAAAATAATTAATAATAATTTTTGAGAGCTATTTAGATATAATTTTAAGAACTTTACTTATTAAGGAAACTTTAATAAATTTGAATTCCCAGAAATACTATATTTATATAAAACTCTTTAGTATAGTAGTATATTTATATAATAGAATAGTAATACTAATACTATTATAAATACCTTATATATTATTATAAAAGAAAATAAATAATATATATAATTAAATAAGAATATATTAGTAGCTAGACTAGATTTTATTAAGGAACTAATTCTATTAAGCTTTATTATTCTTATAAAAAACAAGTACCTAGAACCTATTATCTTTAATATTTCTATATTACTATTACTTTCTTTATTATCTTCTTTATTACTATATCCTATATCTTTACTAGATTTATATACTAGTATAAAAGCTTTAGGAGCAAATAGTATATTCTTATTATTATTATTATTATAACTATATCTGAATAATTCCTAATTTCCTTTAATTATAAAACTTATTAGAGAAGTTACTAAGATTTATATTAAAAAATAAAAATATAATAAATCTAATAATAATTTTAATTATAAACTTACTATTTTCCTTAATATTTACTAATATATAGAGCTTCTATAAGA